CTGACCAGGGTGGTGTTCTACCAACTGACCAGGCTGGTGTTCTACCAACTGACCAGGCTGGTGTTCTACCAACTGACCAGGCTGGTGTTCTACAATCTGACCAGGCTGGTGTTCTACCATCTGACCCAGCTAGTGTTCTACCAACTGAGTTAAACAGCTAACCCACTAACAACTACATGGAAGCCGTTTAAAAAAAAACTCAAACTACCAAGATAGATAGAGTTATGTACAAATTAAACTTTACTGTTAAGTCATATATATAATATATGTAGACACTTTGTTAAGCTTAACTCGGTAAGGTGAACCCCACAGGACCAAACTTTCACAACATACTACCTCTGTTCCTAGTGTCGACACTTCACTGACTATTTTCTTGAGGTTGGCCACCAGTGTCGACACATTATTCTCTAGACCTCTAAGTTGAGAATGGATGGAATGCAAAGCATCTGGGGTATTTTTGTTACCTGCTTCGACTGTAAAGAAACAAATTAGTTACCTGGATATTATATGTAACAATTTACAGCTCAACTGATTGACACAACAAAATGGAAGAGGCTTCATATGTGAATGAATATATGGAATACCAACAGATCTGTAATTTAATGAAGAACAACACTGTGGCAAACCAGCTTGTGTTTCATGAAAGACATCATTTACAATCAATTTAAATAGTGATCTATGAATGAAATGAAGTTATAGCAATCAAATTTACTGCACACATTTCTACATAAATAATTCAAAGAATATGGATCATAAAACTGCAAAAAACTTACTTAACATTCCTGAATACTTTAAATACTTTTTTTGTGATGAATTGTAAAATGCATGAATGAAATTGAAAGTTAAACCATCTCATTTCATTGTATATAATAAATGAATTAATCACAGGATACAAGTACCACTTTATCAAACACTCAATTACACCATCTATAAAATCCTTTCACCATTCCCTGATTCACATACAACTGTATCATTAGAAGAGATTCATCACTCATCTCGGTGCAGTATTATTAGAACAAAGTACAGATTAGACACCTATCTCAGTACAGTAATGTTAGAACAAAGTACAGATTAGGCACCTATCTCAGTACAGTATTGTTAGAACAAAGTACAGATTAGACACCTATCTCAGTACAGTATTGTTAGAACAAAGTACAGATTAGGCACCTATCTCGGTACAATATTGTTAGAACAAAGTACAGATTAGACACCTATCTCAGTACAGTATTGTTAGAACAAAGTACAGATCAGACACCTATCTCAGTACAGTATTGTTAAAACAAAGTACAGATTAGACACCTATCTCAGTACAGTATTGTTAGAACAAAGTACAGATTAGACACCTATCTCAGTACAGTATTGTTAGAACAAAGTACAGATTAGACACCTATCTCAGTACAGTATTGTTAGAATAAAGTACAAATTAGGCACCTATCTCAGTACAGTATTGTTAGAACAAAGTACAAATTAGGCACCTATCTCAGTACAGTATTGTTAGAACAAAGTACAGATTAGACACCTATCTCAGTACAGTATTGTTAGAACAAAGTACAGATTAGACACCTATCTCAGTACAGTATTGTTAGAACAAAGTACAGATTAGGCACCTATCTCAGTACAGCTTCTGTGGAGGATGACATGGACAATCTTAAGCCTTGCATCTCGACAAAATCCCCGCAGACTCTGAACAGTACCTGGACTTCACTTCCAAGACTTTGCTTACAGAAACTGTACTGTGCATGTACTCGATTTCAAGATACACCAAAAGCACAAAACTCTGTTGAAGCTGTATCAATGATTTTAACAGTTATATACTGTATGGGATTGCTGTGGTTCCAGTTTCTTTGGCCATCTTTTTTTATGCAAACAACTAATGATTTTAAGGTATAACTTAAAGCTTGTAAACTTTGGCTTATTAGTGTTGATCACCTTAAAATCCTTCTTCATATGTTATTAACAATAAACATAATAATGTCTAGCTTCATCACAATGGCTTTCTTCAATTGTGGTTTCAAAGACCATTGCTCTAATTTACCAACTACTATCGAGGTTCTTTCTGCTTTCAAGGAAAACATTGAATGTTACCTTCTTCGAAATATTGTGCCCCTTTTGCTCTACATTGTTCAAGAATTTCATTTTATCAATATTTGTTTCCAGAAAGCTTTTCCTAAAAGTATATTACTAGTTTTTATTAGAACAATGCTTGGTTATACACAGTTTTGATATCAGAACAATGCTTGGTGATACACAGTGTTATTATCAGAACAAAAATTGGTGATATAATCAGAAACGAATTTCTTGACATGAAAGAGATGGTAATTTGGTGACAACATCTTTATATGCATCTCGGCAGTATTTCAAAGCAGAGATAAGTTGGTCGACTACAACGAAAAATAGTCCAGTTCTGAATTTATCCTTGGGTGATACTGTGGTATCCTCTGCATCTCCATCATGGCAATGGTTGTGCATCTGGACGCCCTTCTGAACTGAACTATACTCACTATGACCACATAGTTCAACACCTCGTTCTTAGAATTTGTCAAACCATGTTTTCTGACATTCAACTTTTTAAATTATTTAAGATTAGATTAGGTAAAATAAATAATAACAATTCAATATAAATTTTTGGTGGTTACGAGATTGGTCAAATTGGCCAGCCCTTTATAGAGTTAGGTAGAAGAAATAACATATAAAATATGAAGTTTTATTTACAGAAAATGTCTGAAATTTATTTATTAGGTTTTAAAGATCACACAATTGAAATTTGAGACTTTTGAAACGAAGAAAAGTATTTTTAATCTTAACATATATATTACTTTACACTTGGATTAGTAAAAATACTATATATATATTCACGAACAAATCTTTAGTAAAAATACTTAATTAAAACTGATTTTTGTGTACAAACGACTTGTAATTTTTATTAAACGTGTGCCAAATTTTGTGAAGATACACATACTGTATTAAAAATAAATACTCCTACATATATATATTCGTTTCTGTATGGGCCTCCCTTAGATCATGGGCCTCTGGCAGTCCCCCAAACTGACCAAGCCTTAATTCGTCACTGGATACACTGTGTTGATATCAGAACAATACTTGGTGATACACAGTGTTTATATCAGAACAAAGCTTGGTGATACACACAGTCTAATGAGTAATATGTAAGTAGTCAGATTTAACTACATTTCTCTGTTATGTAAGTGGTCAAATTGAACGGATAAATTCCTTAAATTCCACGAAAAATCCCATACTTTTTCGAGTTATACCTGTTACGATTTCTGAAGTACGTCATGTAAAAATTAAGCTAGATTTTTAGCAATAGGGGAATTCTTACCTTTCTGAAGATGGTTTCGGAGTAGATCTAAATCCTGACGAATTCCAAGATGTAACCAAGCTAAGGTACCGCCTGCTATTATAGATAAGGATACCAGCACAAACAGACACAACGGGAGACAGGCAGCACCATTGCTTCCTCTGTTGTCAGACCGTAATAAGTTTGTTAGAAAACATGTATAAATATAATATTAGAAAACATCAATACATATATATATATGTGTGTGTGTGTGTAATATCAGGAAACATGTTTAAACATAACATTGTAAAACATGATAAAAAGGTTTAAATAAAACATTAGATATCACGTAAAAAATACAATAGAAAATATGAATAGATTTAATATCAGAAAACAAGTGAACTCTCAGAAACAACGAAGAGACAATTGAAACCTCAGAAACAACGAAGAGACAAGTGAAACCTTACAAACAACGAAGAAACAACTGAACCCTCAGAAATAACGAAGAAACAACTGAAACCTTACAAACAACGAAGAAACAACTGAAGCCTCAGAAACAACGAAGAGACAAGTGAATCCTTACAAATAATGAAGAAACAACTGAACCCTCAGAAATAACGAAGAGACAAGTGAATCCTTAAAAACAACGAAGAGACAACTGAAACCTCAGAAACAACGAAGAGACAAGTGAATCCTTACAAACAATGAAGAGACAACTGAAACCTTACAAACAACGAAGAAACAACTGAACCCTCAGAAATAACGAAGAGACAAGTGAATCCTTACAAATAATGAAGAAACAACTGAACCCTCAGAAATAACGAAGAGACAAGTGAATCCTTAGAAACAACAAAGAGACAAGTGAATCTATAGAAACAACAAAGAGACAAGTGAATCTATAGAAACAATGAAGAGACAAGTGAATCCTTACAAATAATGAAGAAACAACTGAACCCTCAGAAATAACGAAGAGACAAGTGAATCCTTACAAATAATGA